TTTCTCTAATAAACCAGTAGAAGCAGCAATTTGTATTAACTAAGGATGAAATAATGCATTCAAAAGCACATCATAATATTAATCTTCTCTAAAAATTAATGTATTGCAGACATATAATGAAATTGTCAATCATGTTATCAATCATGAATTACTATTTTAGATTGATCATTTAGGATCCACCATTTAAAACGTAATCTCTCACATTCACTAGAAAATCTAGTCTCCCTCACAATTTAGTCCCATATATTTTATCATCAATATTTCCTAAGTGTTGCATTTCACTACTATTAAAACAGCATGTTTTGGTTTAATAATATTACTGTTTCACACATTTTATATAAAACAAAATGAGCTTGAATCTAATAAGCTGCTCTAAAAGGCAAAAGCAAACAAAGTACGTTATGACAAATTCAACTTTAATTGCTTGGATTTCCAATTTTACCATAGCTTTCAGCTTTTAGTTAATTCTGCTTGGAGGGTAGAGTCATCTGCTATGCATGGGCAAATAGCAAATGTTTATTATGCAGAAATAAAAAATAAAAAGTAAACACTTATTGCTGGAAAAAAAAATAAATTATACATATTTCTTGTGCTGTCAAGCATCTGAAAGGTACTGCAGCTAAGTGATTGAGGAAAATTCGGGTAAGTTATCAGTAGCTCTCACTTGTGAACAAATAGGGAAACCCCTTAATGAGACCTGCAGTACCTATCTCTGCATAATGAGGTGGCCAGCGAACATCTGCCAAGACGAATGACTGCAGTAAACTCTTGCCAAATCTGAAGTAGCCTGACCAATCAAGTGGAACTGATAAATACTGTGCTCTGGCACTGCTACATAAGCTTATTTAAATGTATAAAATTGCAAATCAAAGCAAGAATAATTTTCAAATTTGCAATCACAAATCTACTCTGTTACTGTTTGCCCAAAAGACCTTGTGTGTTGTAAAACCCATAAGAAATGGCTTGACTGTATCTTTGCAGCAGAGACCAGGTATGAGTTGTTCTTCATCCATTTGTTCAGCAACAGAAGCAGAGTTTAATTCATGTGAAACTTTTGTGGAGAGTTGTGGCTGTTTGCTCCAGTTTAATCATTTGGCTGCATGGCCCATGTTGCAAAGTTCAATTTAATGTGTTATCATAGTCTTATCATGTTCAACAGAGAAGAATGAGTGTTTCATGAAAAATGAACATCCCTAAGAAAAGTTGCACTGGAATTGTCATTTTATTTTCACCTGCATCTGGGAATTCTTTGATACAGAACTAAACTTTCAAAAGGGTACTTTCTGCCTTTACTAAATAGTAACAGGCATGATATTATTACCAGAACGTTAACAGCAAGCAGTTTACACAGCCTGCAGGCTTGGAGGAATTCAAATGGACTCAAGATGGCAGATGTCAAGATGTCTGAAATATCATAGGCACATGCAGCGCACACAGAAAGTAAATTGGAAAAAACTTATATAGAATATTTCTCTGTTTAAGTGAAAAATGCACATTCTCATTTGGTAACAGCACTGTCTTTCAATCTATTCTTGCATTTTTACCTCTTTAATATGCTGTCAACATATTCTTTCCTATTTACTGGATTATATCTGTATTTAAACATCACTATCAAACAAAACCACATGATATGAGCTCAATATTATCTTATCCTATAGCACAATACTACTGAAACCAATCTGTCTCCTTATTATTAAAATAAAAAAAGCATAATGTACATGCCCACAAGTACTGATGTCAAACTTGGACCATTTCAGTTTTACATAGTATTGTAGAGTAGGAATTGAAATTTTATTAAACAGAATTAAAAAAAAAAACTTTTGGTTTGGTTCTACTGTACAAGTAGAAACAGTTCTGTTTGTGAAGTGCTGCAGACAACAGCTCAGTCTCAGCTGACCAATTTCCTCCTTTTCTGGAGTTTCTGTCATGGTGATTTGAAGCCATTATTTCAACTGAAAACTAGTATCCTTTTGGAGGACCTGGGTTGGTGGTGAGAAAATGCTGAAAATAGAGTGTCCATTCCAGGTTCAGAATCAAATCAAGCTCTCTGCATCTACTTGAATTTGACAGTTAATAAAAAAAAACATATAAGGTGATAAAAAAGATAACCTTCTTTCTGAAACAATCTGCACAACAACAATCAGTCTTTCAGAGGTTCTTTCATATTGCAACGTACTGCAAAAGACAATTTTCACAGAAGCACAGATGCTAAGATAAGGATGTTAACTCAAAAAGGACATGCTGTCACAATTATGATAAAATGATTATTAAATTAATCTCAATAATATTGGTACAATGGATTCTGTAGGATGTTAAATCAGACCCCTTAATATACAGTAATTATACTATTATATCCACTAATAAATATTTTGGCAGAGAAAAAATATTCTTCAACTGAAAGATATTCATTAAAGTAGCTTTATTATACAGTAACTACAAATTGCTTCTGTACGTAACAGCTACTTTCACACACTGACTGAAGTATGAAAACTAAAATGTTTACAGAGCACTAGAATGCTTATTTAATGTAGAATGCAATCCATCACAATTATGACATTTTGAAATGTCTACAAACAAATTTCTGCAAAAAAGGATTACTGTTATGGATTTGCCCCCTTAGTTCCTAAACCTGAAACCCATTGATATTCTGTGGATTAACTTAGTTGCAGAACTGTATACAGTATGTTGAATACAACTGACAACTGACAACTGAACCCCTGAGAGATAAAAGGAATAGGTTTCAAAATTACAAAGGACTGGCATACAAGATACAAAAGTGTGAAATTATTTTTCTTGCAATTTTTCATTTCATGTATAGTATGTATTATATAAATGATACATTTAAAAAGTAGCACAATGTACATAATTTTTTGTACAATAATAGCGGTCACATAACATTATAAATACATTTAACTCTATAAGGACCCTCGGTAAGGTAGTCAACTTAAAGTACAAAATCAATCATTAAGGCCAAGAAGCTTGCACAACAACTCAGGAATAAAGATGTATAAAGGCACAGATAAAAAGAATGGTATAAAACAAACCAAAGACACTTAATATGTCTCTGAGCATGTTGATGTTGGTTAATAAGAAGTGGTGAGCACCCAGAAACTGCCCATATTAGGCTATGTGTCGAAACTAAGCAGCCACACAAGGAGGGATCTGGACATGGCAGCTGGAGGCCAACAGAAACTTTCAAAGAGTTCGAGATTGCTGTGGCTTCACACTCCACAGGAAATTAAAATGGTCTCAAGTCTCTCATTTGCAATATTGCAGATTTATTAGTGACACTGCAAACATGTGGTGAAAGCTCTTGTGGTCAGATAAGACAAAATTGGAACATTTTGATCTAAATGCAAAGCACTTACAGTATCTGACACAAACCCATCAAGTTCTGTAGTGGCAGCATTACAGTATGCCATAGTTTTGCTTCTCATCAGCAGTTACTGTGAAGCTTGTCAAGGCTGATGGGAATATATTGTAGATGGAGTAAAGCATTGCCAAACCTTTGAGAAACAAATCTGCTTCCTATTGAGAATAGATGAAAAAAGGCTTGAAAACAGCTGTCAATGATAAGTGATCTCTAAGCAACTGGAGAGAGCTTGACCAAATCTTCTAAGAAGAATGGGCAAAAAAGTCACCAATCCACAGTGCAAAGTCAGCTTGGTTTAGTATGACTATCATTATGACAACTACTATGAATACTAAGTAAATTTCTTTGTAACGTTCATCAATTTGTTTGGAGCATACAATATCTATGAAGTCTGGTTATGTTTATAGAAATAACCACTGCTTTTCTGTGGCAGCCCATTATTCTAAACTCCTGGCCTCTTTCACATGACATGCTGCCCTACTACAGGGCACTGACTACTTTAGAATGGATTTGCATACTTAAAGTATGCTTTCACCCTACGAGGTACACACAAATAACTACATTATAAACACAGTGAGGAAATAGGGGATACCATTCAATAAATTAATTTCGTTGTCATTATTTAATCGATCATTCATTCAGTTAAAAAAAAAAGAATTGTATGGCTTTGGCTTATTAATGTAATCTTTTTTTTAATCTGTGAAAAAGCTACTCCTCTTGAACACTTCCATGCTATTGATATTTATTTCTTCCCTTGGCCTTCATAACAACTGAATTACCAAAACCACTTTACCATCAGGAATGTACTCGTCAAGCAAATGTATACCGTTCTCTGAATAAACATTGAAATAATTTGCTTTATTGCCCAGCATTTTCATTACAAGTTGCAAACAGAATGTTAAAATCAATGTACTACAACATTTTCATCTTCCCTAGCTGCAATAGTTCTGAGTGAACATTATTTTCACACTTCACTATCATCTGAGTGAAATCCCATTTATTCCTTCTAGCTGAAGAAATGTGTCAGATTCTTATCACATTGTTTGTGTTGCCCATAACAACGGATTACAGGATGATTGATGAAAATATTTTAGTGATTACAGAGGTGTAAGAGCTACTTAAAGTCCAAGAAGAAAAATGGAAACAAAGGTTAAGAACTAACTTCTGTTAACAATCAAGTCGTAGTTTTAACAAAACATTTTTGCAAGGGGAATTTAGACAAACACCCTCACTTTCACTGATGTATAAGGTTTTAATCAACAGTTGCAGACCTGAATAACCAATTAAACTTCAGTGCTTCTTGATGTCTATAAGGATACCAAAGATGACGTACAGAATATTTTGTATAGCTGAGTGTATAACTACCCCAGCCCTAAATGAAAGAAAAGTCTTCCTAAGCAACCCCCCAAAAAACAAACACATAAATCAATTAAATCCTTAATAAATTTGATGCATTCTGCTTTGATTTAACGCAAAGAGTATAAATATATTTAGTGTGCAGAAATACAGTAATCTTTATATTCCTCACTGCAAAGCAATATTGTCGCCCTGGTTTTGCAATAAAACCATAAAAGATTGAAAACCATAAGATTGAAAAGCCATAATTAGGAAAGTTCAGAGTGCTTACCATATTGAAGGTGCTTCTGTTCCACTGATTTCTAGAAAGTCATATCTGTCTTCAAGCTGGAATTCTGTAAAGACCAATGCAATGGTGTCTCCTGGCTCAGCAAGGATGCTCCAAGTACAGTCAGCGTTGTTCTCATACTCTGACGGGAAGTGAGGACTGGAAATCATCCCACTTGTCCCTCTAAATGTCCCACCACACGCTCCTTCAGCTGATGAGAATAGACACAAGCAATAAGATATTGTTCAGAAGAGGTACAGTAATTGTGTCGTTAATTTCATAATGCAATTGAATTTACAATGCCTATTCTGAATTGATAAAATGCATACTTTTTGAAGTGTAAATTCTTTAAAGTTTTCTGTTTTTTATAGTATAAAATGTGCCAAGTTCAAAGGAAAACTATGAACATATTATCTTGTAAAATGCAAAAGGGTTAGGAAGTTTGTTTTTAATAATTTCCATTGTAAAGAGTGCAATGCTGTATTTTAATGGTAAACGTCTTTTCTATAAACACTAGTTTTCCCACAAGGTCACACTGGATATACAGTAGTTCGATAAGGACTCTTATTATATTTTATATGATCTGTCCTCAAAGGTTTCAATCCAAAACATGAAAGAAATTGATTTTTAATCCATTGCCTTGTGGCTCTGTTTAAAACCTTTTCCCTTTTCTTTCTTTAAAAATGCTTACATCATTTTAAGTTAACTCACAGTACGGTAGTTTTGTCAATATTTCCAATGGATGCAGAATTTTATAACTTTTAAAAATTAAAAAGAAACATTCTTTTGTGGCTTTATTTAACAATGTAGTATATATATATATTTAAAAGGCCACTGTAACTGAAGAATTACTTATAATTATCTTACACAACTTTTTTTGTCAGACTCATAACTTCTGCTCCTACAGTAAAAACAATGTTGCTACCATATCATGACTAAATTCATCATCTTTAGTAGCTGTACATGAGATCTGCTCTCCTGCAGGTTAGAAAACAGAAGTTTGTGATCCCATCTGGTTAAGAACCTGGAAGGGAGACTCCTGGATCATGCTGCCATAGGGTCAAGATGCACAGTTTGCTCTCACATATGATTGTGAGAGATCCATGGTTAAATTAAGTTGTATTAACATTTAGACAGAAGAGTAGAAGACATTACAGGTTATGGATCTATTGTACAGTAGGTAGGCTGGGTTTTTTTACACCAGGATAGTAAAAATAGTAAATGATATATTTTAATTGTACTATAGTTATTATAAATAAGGTGCAGGAACTGTGCTAACAGGTACTTATGTAATGTAGATACGTTCTCAGATGCCAGGCGCTAAAGGGAAACTGACACAGCATCTTTTCTTATATAATGTGGAGACCACTTACTGTACATTACTTGAGAGATAGGTTAGGTCGTTTTACATACTGTAGGTATGCCGGATACATCATTTTAGCTCCTTCTTTAAGTGTAGTTTTCCCTTTGAAGAAAGATTTTATAAATGCAGTAACATTTCTATGTCAGATTGGAGGAAATGCAATATTGCCCATTAAAAGGAAGTTAAATACAAACTTCTCTGATCGTCTTTTTCATGGCAGGCTGCAAAGCTAAAATGGAACACATGGTGTATCTCTGCCTGCACTTCATAGCAAAGAAAACGAAGTTCCTTAGTGTGCAGTAGCACTGACAGCTGGAAATGTGGAACAATATATTTATTGTGACAGTTTTCCATTATCTGAGATCATAGCTGAGAGACTTTTTCAAACCCTTCAGCACCCAGAAAGTGGAACAAACATGATCGCCAGTCCTTAACCACAAGATTAAAAGTATTTCCAAGCAGCATTTATAAGCATCCATCTTTCTAGTTCAGCTAAATTGAATTGCCTAAAATAAACATGGTGGATGGCTACAATCTGCCCTGACAAAGACTTGAGCAGTAGTCATCACGTTAAAACTGAACAACTGGTCAGAAATACTACACTGGACATGTAGAAAACCTTTGTGTCCTTAGCTCAGATTTAAGCAAACCCAGAGTTTAGAACTTAAGGTTATACTGATTTGGTTGGTACTAGCTAATGGATCCTATCATTAGAATCTCATCTAGTCATTTCATGAAATAATTATCTTTATCAGCTCTAACAACACAGCTGGGCAGCTTTTTCCAGATGTCCACAACCCTGTGAGCAAAAAAAAAAAATGTCTCTGGTGCTCCCATAAAGGGCGCCCATTACAAACACGATTCAGAAAAACACTTTATGTGCAAGTGTATATCCTCAATGTTAAGGCTTCAGGACTTAGCAATCACTGTATATGGCAATCGTAACAAATAAAGACTTTTGTCACAGTAAAACCTGAAATTATTTTCCAGTTACTGTATGTTTGCATGTAAACCAGGCCATCATTAAGTGCAAGCTGAGGAATAAGCAGTAATAGTGTAACATAATGAAGACATGGTTATGTTGCTAAAATGCAGAGTTAAGTTTGTTCTGAGCATCAAGCTAGACTTCTCAAGCTGTTTTCTCATATTGTGCTTGACCACTTAAGTGTCAACTGGAGCATATGGAAACAATGTAGATGGGTATAGGTGCCAGTGGTTTAGAAAATGGGCATTCAAGCTTGTCATATCTGTGGCGTAGGTGTAGAGTTGTCTCACTAATGGGCTTTTAAGTGTTTCTGACTGCCTTGCAATTTTCATTTTTCCAAGTATTAAGAACACCTCTGAAGAAAGACAGTTAAAAGTAAATGGGGTGTAATCTACATATAATTAAGGGTTTACTTCCTAATTTCATGGATTTAAAAGAAAGAAAGAAAGAAAGAAAAAAAATATTTTTGATGTGTATAAGAATCACAGGCTGTTGCTGCATGAAACTGGAACAGTACGTGAAACTGTTTTACCACTATGCAATGTCTTGTATATGCAAATACTGTACTTTTGTTTTTCGAAAGAAAATTTGAAAATGTTTCCTAGATTTGTTTTTCAAAAATATATAGCTTACAGTGAACATTCACACTGTATTGTTAATTCCTCAATTATATTAAAGTAGGTAGCAAAGGAACAAGTAATAGGTTTATTCCATGCTGAAAAAAAGAAGAAAGAGAATACAACGTTTCGGCCGTGGAGCCTTCTTCAGGTGTGAGGGTGCACGGCCGAAACGTTGTGTTCCCTTTCTTCTTTTTTTCAGCATGGAATAAACCTGTTACTTGTTCCCTTGCAGCCTGCGCATGCTGACGCAGCAACCCACTTAAAGTAGGTAGGTAGGTTAGGTTGCCTCTTCAGGCCATTAAGGGGGCAAGGGCCACCATTTTTCTCAACCATCCAACACTGGAGGTGATGGGGTCAGCATCACACTCCAGCTGGCCTGTTACCCCCGGAAATATTAACCCCCAGAACTCACTGGGAAAGCAGGCCGAGTGGAACTGGGAGCTGTCTGGAATGAATTAGAGCTCCATCACCTGCCCCTACCTGGGACTGAACCCAGGACCTTCTGGTCAGGAGCCAGACGCCCTTGCTGTCTGATCTACCACAGCTCCCCCTAATTACATTTACGTATAATAATAATAATAAACTTTATTTTATATAGCGCCTTTAAAGGTGGCTTCTCAAAGCGCTTTACAGGATGACAACAACCATAAATAAGAAGACTACAACAATAAATAAGAAAATTTCACAAGACAGGACACAATTATAATTACAACAATACAACAATAACAATAGAGGAGACCGTGGAAGGTGGTATTAAGAAGAGCAGAGGGGTGAAGAATGGAACCAGTTAAGTAAAGGCTTTTCTGAAAAGGAGGGTTTTGAGTCTGGATTTGAAGGAGTTTAGAGAAGGTGACTCTCTGATATCCTTGGGGAGAGAGTTCCAGAGCTTGGGGGCATAACAGGAGAAGGCCCTGTCGCCCATACAATGTAGACGGGCTTGGGGGACAGTAAGGAGGGCAGAATTTGAAGAGCGGAGGTTGCGAGGTGGGGAGTAGGGCGATAATAGTTCAGACAGGTATTGAGGTGCCCAGCCATGCAGAGCCTTATAGGTGAGCATGAGGATTTTAAAGTCTACGCGGAATTTGACAGGAAGCCAGTGCAAGGACTCCAGGATAGGAGTAATGTGAACACTTGTACGTATGCTTATTTAAGTTTAAATATGTGGCAAAGACTACAGTAGAAAGTGCATGCTTCTAGAATCTGTTGCAAAGGAAGATTAATGGAGCATAAATCTCCCCACGTCTCCACCCCTCATTGTTTATATCCTTCTCTATACAGTATAAAGTATTTACCTACATTTCAGGTATATAACCCCTCAGAATAAGAAAGAAATTCACTGATGAATTGATTCCCAGGTCTTTTATAAAAAAAAATCCATTATAGGCTCTGAGAATTCTTTTGTTGGTTGGCTAGTGATAGCTGTTGGCATTATAACATATATAATTACAAAACAGTTCAACCATGTAGCTTATTTATATAATAAATTAAAAACTCATTAAATCCTTGTCGCTGAGCACAAACACGTATATTAACTATATGCCAAAATAATTAAAATCATCTTCTTTTTTCTTTTTTTGAAAGCATAAAGCCATGCATAGGGATTCATTTTCATTGCTAGGTATTTTTTCTAATACCAGTCTTGTTTAAAACTGACATCTGGTTCATCCCTTTTGAATTTACTTTGAATTATGATGCTTATGGATGTGTCTTAAATAAAATAGAGAAGTGCTGTATGAACAATTTCTCAAACCTAGTACAAGCATGAGTTTGCCTCAAAATATAAAACCATGCAGATTTTGGGAAATCTCAGATTTGCAGCATAAATTCATTTCTATACAATCCTGCCATATTGAAATACATGGTACCCAGCAAACAGAGAACCAATTTGGATTTTCTCCAAATGTCTGTATCCTTTTGGCAAACATATACAGTACATACCAACATTTTGTATGAAACAAAACACAATACATAGAGATTGCTGCGTTTGCGTGTTCTGTGTTTTGTACTTGCTGTTGAGCTGCAGAAATATTAATCTTTTGTCAGGGCTGATGAGTTTCATATGGCAGGTTTAAAACTACAAATGCTATTTTAGGATTTATGTTGTGCTATAAATTGAACAATCATATTTTTTTACTTTCGCCAAGTATGTTGAAAGTGTTCTATTATCTCACCTTCCTGCTAGCATTGTTAAGCTTGTTTGCTTTATACACACTAAATGCATTAGTGTCCTTCATTTAAACAGGAATTTGCAAAATATCTCTTATATTGGAAACACTGATTTGTGAGAAAATATTTCTTTCACACCAATGGAATATGACTCATACAAGCAAACAAACAGAATAAAAAACAAATTCTCACAATGCATCAGTATGAATTTGACAAATAAGATAATCCTAACACATCCAGTACATGTACTGTACAATACACATCAGCTTCTTAGTACTTCATTGACCTTCAGTTATTCCCCCTCGAAGACATTTCTTTAAAGTGGAGCACATACAGTACAACCAGAAGTCTGATTCATGCAATTATTGGTACTGTGTTGTGTTGTTGTTTCTTCCTGTACACAGATGACATCAGCTTCACTGGTTTGCCAAGTGTACTCTGTGGCAGATCATTTACTACATGTTAGAAATGACCCTGGCGAAAGCTCTTTATGATTTTGCCAACAAAGAATTGGCAGGTGATTTATTAGAAACAAAAAAACAGTGATGTGATAAGAAAATATATGTGATAATTGATGTAAAGATATGGATGAAATCCTGCCACATATGAATTTACATGGTGCTTTAATATATCATGTATTTATTTTCTAAGTACGTTTATTACCACAGAATGTCACATGAGATTTGGACGGGACCAGAAAAGTGACTTGGTATCTTCAGACTCTATCTAGTAAGTTAATGTGTATTTTAAGGATAAGAAACAATTGAACAATGTGATTTTGCAATCGTTTCAAAGAACCCAAAAAACTGTTATAGCTAGCGATGTATTCCCACATTCAACATATTTTTCATACCTGCTGCAGTCACACACTGTACCAATCTCGTTTCTGCAATGCTCTCAAACCTTGATCTTAGGTAATTTAGGTATTTTTATTATAATGCATAAATGCATTGTTTCCTTTATCAAAAATAAACAAAATAGCTAATACAACTGAGGGACATTTTTGTTTGCATTAGCAACTTGGCATGTGCTTGAAGCTATTATATTGTGTGTATCTGATGTGTTCTTAGACAGACCTCATTGCTTGTTTTTGACCTCAGTAGATGACAGAATTCTTAATATGCTGACTTCATGTGTTCAGTTTCTACAAGCTCACAAGGTCACAGGTGCAGATTATTACTTCCTCTTACAGCTTCTAAACATTTTTCAATCAATTGGGCCAGTCTCTCAATAAAGGATATACAGTATAAAGCATACACAGTATATATAGTAGTATATAAAATTAAATGACAAATAAACACTGAGAAAGAGAAATGATCAATCAAAGATTGTCAAACATTCAATTGTGTTATTAAAAAAACACATTTCCTTCCCTTAAACAAGAATGAACATTATTTCGTGGATCCACTTCCCCAGGATAAGAAACATAGATGGAATAAAGTACCCGATTATTTTTGTTTTATAACTTGTATTTCACCCTGTTGGATTTTTTTAACGGAAGGCAGTTCCCACTCTTCCTGCTTCCTGCTTCACGTGGAATGTGAGGAAGTGCTGTGGAGTTCCAGAGATCCAGAATAATTGTGATTTTCTCACCCACTGGTTTCCCTTTAACATTCCGGAAGAATACAAGCAGAGTTGAAAACAGCCCCAGATTATGACATGAATATTCACTCTTCTCTGTGAAGTCAGTCATTTGAAACCCCAAAACACCACCGATGGAGACATGAGGTTTTCATATACTCTGATTTGAAAGAAAGGCATTTCCAATAGCCCTGTCATTCATCTTACCTCTGCAGAAAGGAACAGGAAAATCCCAAGATGCTCCACTGCCTGGACTCACAATACATGTGAGCACTGCGTGTCCTTCCAAAACATTCCCCGTCACACAGCTGTAACGGATTTTGTCCCCGATATTGTAGCGTGATCCATGCACTACTCCTTTGGGTATCACCCCAGGATTACCACATGTGTGACTTGGCAACACTGTAAAAAAAAACAGAAAATATAAAACATTATACAGTGTTTTTTTTAAGAGCTTCTATTTCAGACATCTGGAGAAATTAAGAGTGGAGGTGGAAAACAAACTTTATACTGACCAATTTATGAATGCGTTGAAGTGCTTATGGACTAAATATGCATTTGTTCTAATGCAGAACGAATATCAAGAGATACGAAACATGTTTGATTGGGTTCTCATGTTGATTACTTTATTATCAAATATTAACAGGATGTTTCTCCATAAAATGAGTGCTCAGTCACTTAATATAGGGAATGATATGGATTGAACCCACAGTGCCAGCGAGGTACAGCAGTGATATAGATATAAGTCATCTGCAGATATTTGGCTTGGCTGTAGTTCAGTTCAGAATGGAAGAATGCTGGCAAGGTTGTCATACAGTATGTGGTACTGGTGTGGACACCATTCTCCCAGTCAATGAAGTGTGAGTGCTCTTGAGCAAGGAGAAAAAGAGATTCCATATTCAGCTAGTTGGTACAACCAAGAAGCATGCACTCTCTTAACACCCTGGCAATTCAAGGCTTAGCAACTGTTTCTAGACTTTCATTACTCTGAGCCTCTGAGAGAGGACTGAAGGCTACCATGCATATCTCCATTACTGTTGTGCTCTGCTGCAGAATGAGTCTCTTTTGATGCTCAGGTTAACACTTACGGTCTCTGTAAGGACAGAAGATCAATAACATAAACAATGATTCTGTAAAAAAGCTTCTAAAGCCCATGAATGACTTAATGAATGGTACAACATACTGTACTATAAAAGCGGGATTTATATGACTAAGAGATCAAAAATGGTTTGATCTAATTAAAAGTAGCTTATACTGTATATACTGTATGCATATCTGCTTAGAGGGTTTGAAGAAAAAAGCAATTTCAATCATTTTAAAGCCTCTTCATCTGAAACCATACACTAAATGACATAATGCAAATACATTTTAACCTCATACCCTGTTCACTCTCCTGTTTTAGCCATGGTATTTGCTCCCAGACATTATCTTTGCATATCTTGGCAGACATAGCTCCTGTATATAGAGGACCTTATGCTCTTCAGATCAGTCCTATCAATTCTTATGCAGTTGTATACAATAGATTAAGATTAGTGGGTAATCTTGCCCAGCAAATACTGTATGTAAACCTATGCATCAGTGTTCACTGGTGTATACAGTAGGTTCACATATTTTCTTAGTGTGAAAAAACAACTAAGTACTGTGGTGTACAGGCATGTAGATTTGTGATTTTGTTACTCCAACTTTACTTCTCTTACATCACTAAAATCAGGAAAATTGGAAATAAAAAAGAAGATTTAACCCATAGTCCACATCTAGAGGTTAGCAATTTTCAAAACACTGAAGGTGATGACTTGGCAGAATTAGCCATTTTTAGGTCTTAGAAAACTTTTCAAACAATATAAACACAAAACTTATACGCCACAACAGTCTCATATTGAGGACATTTTATTGAATATCTGTATATTTCTCTAGGGGCAATAAAAAGAAAGGAAAGACATTTCATACTCGCAAAAAACATTATCCCATGAATTAGTAGAGATGTCGGAGCTGAGAGGAGACAGTTTATCCCTGGACTCAAAAAATATATGTAGGCACAGAGATGATGAGATACACTTTAAAAAGAATTGCTATATAAAAGAAATGAACAAAAATATGCAATTAGAAAAGTAAGAAAGCCATGCTGAAATGTAAACGTTTTGTGTTTCTCGATCAACACATTCCAAGTCTGTATGCACTCTACCAGCTAATCAGTCTTAAATTTTACATCAGTCCCAACCCCCTTTCTAGAGAGTATCTTAAATATCTGAGATAGCTATGATTTAATGACATCTTCAGGTCAATATATACAGCAAGACAGATTTTGAAGCCAGTGGTTTTCCTCTTCTTAGACATTGTATTGTTACACACTATTCAATGTGTACTAATATTCCCTTTATGGCTAATGTATATGGATTAATAATTCAACCTTTTTAAAGTACCACTGCAATTTCTCACCATCTCAAGTAAAACTCTTGTTGTTTTTCACTTTGTTGACATATGTAATTGTTATTAAATGTTTTAAACTAGAGGCCATTCAATCTCAAGCTTTTATTCATCACAACTGCTGCAGAAGACTGTGTTACTTGACTTGTTCAGACTGAACACAATTTGACTGTAAGACCACATTCTATTTCAAAACATCCAATATCAGTAGGTATTTTACTCTTCCATCAATGTCAATAATTGATATTTTTTTAATTTATTTAACTGCACTTTTATCAAGTAAGAACCTTCACAGTGTTTTTTTTTTACTGTTTCTATTCTGTAGGAAGAATGGTACAGTTGTTCTTGTTCCTTGATGAGCCCCGCAACACATACTGTAATAGAATTAACGAGCCAGAAGCTTCTAAAATACCTTCATGCATCTATTCAAAAGGTGTGATGTGAACACAATGAAGTGTCCAAATTACTTTCTTAAAGCAAGGTCTTAATAAAAAGCTCACCCAGAAGAAAGAAAGGCAGGATCATAGCTGCAATGTTTTAAAAGCAATTAATCTGCAAGGAAGCCAAGTAATAGAAAAGGCAAAGGCGGCACAAACCCTAAAAAATGATTGTGAAATCACATCAGAAGATTTTATCTGTAGATGCCAGTCTGTAATAAAAGTTTAACTTTGATGGCAACCTACTGTTGCCTTTTTCTGTAGACCGTTCTGGAGAGTTAAAACAAATAGCAGCAGATGCAAGAACAGCAGAAGACAGTCAGACAGGTGGTAAGTAGTCAGGATCTAAATTTGTTTGAAAGGTGTTAAAACAGCTTGTGTCTACAATTCTCTCATCCATTTTACAGTGATGTGCTAGAGGTCTTGCCAAGTACTGGTAGCTCGGAGACTTCTAAGCCACTTATTGGTGTAATTAGGTAATGTAACTTCCCTCACTCAAATAGGGATGACCTCCTGCCAATAGCTAACCTCAGGATTTAAAGTTTGTACATGTGTAACCTGTGAAGAGGAAATGTAATATAATATAGGTCACCAGTTTATTCCCAAGATGATGACAGACTTAAAAACAATTGTTCTGCATGTAATGACTTCTACAGATTAATTTACACACATTGGGAAGAATTTATGTAGGGACCTATGCTTGTTTTTCTTGATACAAAGGGTATAGGGTTGTATACTGTATGTCTGGATGTACAGTATATTTCCATTAATTTGCATTTTGTAAGAGCAGTTCACTAAGCAATATACTGTATAAAGCATCTCTAATGGAACTCTAACCATTGGTGCTACTGTTATTACTAGAGTTACTAGAGAATAATAAGGCAGCAATGCTAATCATTGTGGCACTGTGGCCCCGTGCCACCTCTGCTGTCTATAATCACCACATAAAAAACAAGACACATACACTCTAATATTTCAAAGAACATATTCAAATCATCCAATTATTATTAGCTTGTCATAGAAAATGATACAATGTTTACAAAACATGACAGACAATCATATAGTGTGTGGAACATCGGATGAACGTTTTCTTATCATAGAAAAGTTTCAATCTGTTCTGGAAGCAAAAGTTTGGGACTTGATAAATAGTGCTGTCGCTTTTTATTACACAAGGGAGAAAAACACTCTTAAACCTGTCAGTGTCTAGGGAACCATCCACTTTTCTCCTCTTGCATCATCAGGTCCACTGAGAGAAATTTCACCAGAGATGTTCTTAATACAAAAATCGATGATGTCTATTCCCTTTAAATAAATAGCTAGTGTTCTTAAGCACTGTCACTTCTGAAGACAAATAATTGACCCCCATATATTCCAAAACATTCGAGAATGAAAGTTTTGTATCGTTTGGCTTCAGAGAATGTACAAAGTAAATGCAATTGGTGAATATATACTGGTATGGTATTGAAAGTAAAGATGAAACTATTCTATATGATGGTTTTTTAATGATAAAGTTGGAATTAATTAAAATTATTTAGTTCTCTTTAATAGCTTAAATACAGTGGCATAGTACAGTACGTCCTGCTTTAGTGAAAGAAGCACTTGTGAAGACCAAGTATGAGTAATATTTTACAAAAGACCAGGATTTATGGCAAACAATTGCTATAGTAGATCTTAATGAAGATCAATAATGTGAAAATGATGAGCATTCATTAAGATTGATGCACTCCTGCAACTTATTTATACTTTATAGCCATTTGTGCGATTGCTTGCATTGCAATGTCAACACTACATCTGCATCTAAAGACTGCTTATAGGTCTTGCTTCATTGCCTCTCACCAATTTGGGAGCTAACTAGCAGAGGAAGTTATTTATATTAAAACAGGAACCTCTACTGTCAAAAATGGAGCACAACAACTGTTTACTAACATTTCCTTACAATGATAAGAAATAGAGACAAAGTAAGATTTTACACAAATAAGAAAAGGTCAATAAAAACTACACCTGTAGCTTATTTTATAACTGATTCTGTAGATATATTATCAACCACATGGTCAATTTCTTTTCCCTGTTTTGTCAGCCTAAGTTGCATGACCAGCTGTATTTCATCAGATGACTGACACCATCTTATAAAACCTAAGTTCTCATTCATGTGATATATAGAAATAATATACATTAGAAGATGTCTATCTTTTTCTGTTGAAATAATCGTTCCCTTGCAAATATCACAGGAGTTGTCTGCATGAAATCAACAAAAGTATTATATATTTCAACCCAGAACAGGCACATAACTAGCTTACAACACAGAACCATTTATCAGTGGGAACTCAAACCATCTGCTCTGTAATGCATCCCCCTTGTTATTAGCTAGAATATTCAATTCAAGTATTTATTGTTTTTCTCTTCAGGAAGAACAGACATGCAGGTCGTCAATATTGAGTTCAGCATTTTCAGTCACAGCTCTGCAGTGTTTCATAAAGTGCAAATTAGTTCAACATCAAATATGCATCTTATATTGTAAGTAATGCATGAAAAAGAGAACAG